GTCCTCCCTCCATTCCTTCTTTTCTGCCTCTCTCCTTTCCTCCCTCCCTCCTTCCTTCCTTTCCTCCCTCCATTCCTTCTTTCCTCCCTCTCTCCTTTTCTCCCTCCCTCTCTCCTTCCTTTCCTCCCTTCATTCCTTCTTCCCTCCCTCCCTCCCTCATCCTTCTGTCCTTCCAAGGTGGGTAAAATGAGGACCCAGATTGTTGAGGGCAAGAGGCTGACTCTGTAAACCGCTTAGAGAGGGCTGGAAAGCACTATAAAGCGGTATATAAGTCTAAGTGCTATTGCTATAACAAGCCAGATTACAAAGAAAAAAACAAAACAAATGAAAAATTATCCTTTTTTTTCCCCCTACAAAAATCAGGCAGTTTTTCCTACAAAGATTTCAACTTTTTATTAAAAAAACCTTCTAATTATGCAAGCTAGACTTCTCCTTGCAACTAAAGCATAGTCACACTCCTTCTCAAATACAAGTGGTCCTCGACTTACGATCCCCAATTGAGCCCCCAATTCCCGCCGTTAAGTGAGACCTTTGTTAAGCGTGTTTTGCCCCATTTTACGACCTTTCTTGCCACCCTTGTTAAGTGAATCGCTTAATAAGTGATGTTTGTGACCCGGTTGTTAAGGGAATCCGGCTTTCCTGTCAACTTTGCTTGTCAGAAGGTCGCAACACGGGATCCGGCGATGGTCTTCAATAGGGGATGGGTGGAGGAGTTGGACTAGATTGTTAGGGATAACATTGTTTTACCCTAACTGTTTTGGGTAAAGATAATAAAATGATGAATCATGGTTTGTCAGATAAAGTGTATGTGACTTTAAGCTAAAGGAATGTAATTAAGGGTGCAGCTGTAAAAGTACTATATAAGCAGCAAGGCACTCTCTGATCCCTAATTACTGGCTGGCTTATTGAAGACTGCATTCTTGCTGGATCGGGGAGGAGAAGAAGTGTTGGATTACTTTGAAGATATTTCTCAACGGAGAGAAGATAAGTTTTGGACAGATTTATTATATGTGTACTGACACTGGCTATTCAACACGGACTTTGCAAATAGAGTATCCTCGACAAGACTTGACTGAATTTGGTATATGACTAATGGACTGTTTATAATGACTATGCTATAATTCTTAAATGGAATAAACAATATTTTTGATAGCACAAACGTATCTGTATTTTTACTGCGTGTTAACAAGAGAAGGCTTATCTCACACATTTACCTGTCTTCCTATCTGACTTCGCTGTACATTCTGTTTAGTTTGTTTTCCTTAACACCCGTTGGGGAATCCAGGCTTAACACTGGTTATGGGCCCAGAGAGACTGCAAAGTCAGTTTAACTAGGATAAAAACAGGTTTATGTAAAAAGTGAGATTTTGTGTTGTTACACGTTACAGTAAACAGACAGCTGTGTTTTATCAATTATATTTTTATATCCATATAGTGAAACATGGCACAAGTCAGTCTACAAGGCCCCTTCCAACTCATCTGTTAATGAACCAGTTGCCAAACACCTGAATTGTGTTCGCGTGACTCTAAGGATGCTGCAAAGGTCGTAACCATGAAAAACAGTCACGAGTCACTTTTTTCAGTGCCGTTGTCACTTTGAGCGGTCACTAAACGAACCACGGTTAAGTCGAGCACTATGAGAGGATTCTCTCTGCTTTTTTCTAGCTCTATGCACCCAGCATCGTCTATATGCCCCCTGTTAACTCCGCCCACCCCATGACGCGCCTCTCCAAATCTGCTCCCGGCGTGATGATGTCATGCATCCTCCGCGCCTGCGCAGTGCGGCCGCGGGGCGATTCAAACTGGCGCCGTCTCCAGAGCGGGAACTCATGGCCGACGACACCGGGGAGAGCTCCTTCACCTGAAGACGACGAGCGGCCGCGGCTCGTCCCCCGAGCTCCGGTGAGCGAAGCGCTTTGCGGGCTAAAAAAAAACCGGGAATGAAGCAATTAAAAACTCCTGCCTGAGGTAAATTCGGCGACTTTCAGCGGGAAGATGGGAAACGCGCGCGCGCGCAAACAAACAAACAACAAAAAAAAAAACGGGGCGGGAGAAACGTTGCTTAGGGAACTGCGCGCTGATTGGTTCTATGGGGCGGGAGTCTGAACTGTTTGCTGATTCGACGGTTCAATCGGCGCGGCCGACTAAAACCCGCCCTCTGATTGGCTTAAAAGAGCCCGGTTGGGTGATTGAGGCGGCTGGCTGGCGGGCGGAAAGCAGCGGCGTGTTTTAAAGGGGAGGAAGTGCGCACGCGCGGGAGGGCCTTGCTTAAGTTCTGCTGTTTTCGACCCGTGTTAACTTTGGGTGAACGTCGGGATCATTCTTTGACCTCTGACCTGTCACAACCCGAGATCTTGCAGTTGCCCCCAAATGCATGTTCACAGTAAAGCGAAAGCGACCTTTTCTCCCCCCGCCCCCCGGTCCGTCCGTCCGTCCACGAGTGGGAACTACGACTCCCAGAATGCTTTCGGGATGACTTCCGGGAATTGCCATTTCCCACCTGTGGTTGAGCATCTCCAGCACCCTATCCAACATTGACAGAAGTGAGGATTGCTGATGCTGTGGTCCGCCGGCAGCCTGCGAAGACGGCGGCACAGTCGGACAGTGGGGAGGATCATGGGCCAGTCCGGGAATCTGGGCAGGACTCGGACGAGGGTTCTGCGTCCGATACAGAGATGGGGCCAGGGCCATCTGGGAGTTATGTGCTGACTCCGGAGCCTCCAGCATCTGACAGCAGCGAGGCAGAGGAACGAGGGGAGCCTGTTACTAGTGTGCGCATGCGCAGAGCTGCCAGAAGGCAAGAACACTTAAGACAAAAGGGGCGACTCGGGAGTAAGGCTTGGAGATGATTGGCCCCTCCCATAAGAGATAAAGGAGGAGCAAAGGGATGGGAACCTTTGCAGGAAGCAACTTTGTTCGTTCTGGTCGATTTGAAATCTGAAGCTCTTGTGTTGAATTTGTGCTCCGTTTGGTCTTGTGCAACTAATTGGCAATTTAGTCATTGGCAGCATTTCAAGGAAGGTAAAGGTGGGTGCTTCTCAGACTTATCCCGAAGGACTTTGGCAGACTTCCATGGGACTATTTACAAACTGTTTGAGACTCATTACAGGCTGTGAATGACTATAATTCACAGCCGTTGAAATAAAACAAAAAGGTTTTGGGACTAACATGTGTTTGTTAATGTCTCAGGAAGCCCTGGTCAGAACGGTTGAACATTTCCCCCAGGGCCTACAGATTTCCAGTCTCTAATTGTAAATAGTCTGGATTCCAGGCCTATCAGCTAGAACCTCAGTCTGATGATGTCACTTTTTTCCCCCTCTAGGGATCATGAGCTTTTCAACGCCACAGTCTGCCGGCTCCAAAGGCAGTGCCTCTTCCGGCAATGTGTTTGTGTCCCCTGGCTCCAGACGGCAGCCGCTCAGTGGCTCTGGCACCCCAGTGCTGCAGAGCTGCCCGCAGAACGACGATGAACGGGAGAGGAAACAGCGAAGGCGCTCCAGAGTGATCGACCTACAGTTTAGCGCTGAATCGCCTCTCTCCATACAGTCTCCCGTTAGCAAGTAAGAGCAATGTCCATGCACGTGTGCCCCACCCCCAAAAAAGCGTGACTGTGTCAATGCACTGGAATATGCAGTGAATAGAATTAGAATTAGAATAGAACAGAATGCAGAATATGAGAAAATAGAATAGAATTAATAGAATAGAATAGAATTAAAATAATAGAATGCAGAATATTAGAATAGAATAAAATAGAATAGAATTAAGAATAGAATAGAATAGAAAAGATTTAAGAATGGTATAGAATAGAATTGAATAGAATTCTTTATTGGCCAAGTGTGATTGAACACACAAAGAATTTGTCTTCAGTGCGTATGTTCTCAGTAAAAGAAAAAAGATAATTCGTCAAGAGTCAAGAATCATAAGGTACAACACTTAATGATAGTCATAGGGTATAGTAAGAATAGAATAGAACAGGAATATAGAATAGAATAGGAAGATAGAATAGAATAGGAAGATAGAATAGAATAGAATAGAATTCTTTATTGGCCAAGCGTGATTTCTTTATTGGCACACAAGGAATTTGTCTTGGCGCAAATGCTCTCAGTATACATAAAAGAAGATACATTCGTCAATCATAAGGTACACAAACTTAATAGTCATAAGAGTACAAATAAGCAATCACGTCATACTAGGAAACAGCGAGTAAAAACCGTTAGGATACAAGCAACAAGGTTACAGTCATAAGTGGGAGGAGATGGGTGAAAGAAAGGGTGGGACGATTAATAGCAATAGTATATACAGTGGAGGCTAGGATGCACCTTGAAGGTTTTAAGGAGGTGGGGATTTAAGCATGATTAGTTTACAGAAATGGGCCAAGTTCAATGGAATGTGATGGGTAGGTAGGTAGAGGATAGAGATGATTGATGATAGATAGATAGATAGATAGATAGATAGATCTAGATTGATGATAGAAGGATGGATATAAGATGGATGGAAATAGATATAAGATTGATAGATGACAGAGAGACAGACAGCCTTATTCATGTCCATATGTCTGCATTTGTCTTGCAGGCAAGCAGAGACATCGCTGCCACCAATCCCACAATTGTCCAATGCTCAGATTGCAGATCATTATTCCACATGCATCAAACTTTCAACAGAAAATGTGAGTTAAACTTCTGCTTGCTCCTCGCAACTGTACAAAAGATCTGTTTAAACTTACTAGCATTAGGACCATGAAAGTTCACAAAAATTTTGACATTTCACTTGACTGTGGGAACTGTGAGGTTTTTCTTAAATTGATATATGTATGATATCCACTTTTGTTTTGTAGAATTCAGGGCTGTTCACATAACGCTCCCTCTTTTTATTTCTCCCCCTCCAGAGCAACATCTCTGTGGAGTGAGTAGTCCTAAGACAGTGGCCCATTGGGAAAACTAATAGATCCTAGCAGGGTCTTCAGAGACACAGGCCTACCGTCTCAAATATCCAGCTGAAGTCCCTACCCTCCCTCTTTTTAAGGGAGGGCTTGTGACATGCACACTTGTTAGTATTGTTGTGGTTCACTTATAGTCCTTACCTATTAGTGGCATTTAATATAAAGTGGTGCTACTCAATTTTAGGCAAGAAATCCAAAATCTTAAAGATTGTAGGCTTGCTATTTCAGAGATGAGACTGCTGAAATGTTTTCAACTTGGTGATGCACACAGTTGAAGTCACTGCTTAAACATATTGTTCACCAACTGTTTTGTTTTGTTTAACTCTTTCTTTCCAGAAAATCACCACGAAGAATGTATTTGGCTTACACCTCATTGACTATATGACTGAAATACTCAAGCAGAAAGATTCCGAACTCACCAACTTCAAGGTCAGGTTTCTTCCTAATTCGACTTCCTTAAATATATGTAGAATATGAACAGCAAATGTTGGGTTATCTTTCGTATTGCGTGTTGGATTGAAAGACTGTGATGATTGGGCGATGAGCACAAAACTACCTTTTCCTTTTGGTTACATTTCTCTCGGAAGAACCTGCCCCTTCCGATACCTGGCCAGCATTCTAGAGATTCTAGAGATTTATGGAACAAGTCTATCTGAAAGAGTGCTGGATATAAGAAATAAAGATCAGCCATTCCCACTCCCCCATCCCTCACAAACAGGTGGATCTGTCCACTTTCTATTTGCTCCTGAGACCCTTGGGGCTTACTCCATGTCCAAAGAAAGGCTTGCTTTAAAAGTAATTGTTGCTGAGGTATGAAAACAATGACAAATATTCCTGGCCCTATTTCTAAATTAAGCTGATCTTCCATGTTGGTTTTGAAAGGCCTAGTTTCAGGTGAACGGTATAGGAGAAAAAGGTGTAGAAGAAAAAGGTATAGGAGAAAAAAAGGGAAAGAATAAAAGTTCTGTTGGGTATTAGTCAAAGGCATTTAAGAAATAAACTCTATCCCCAGGTTGGCCTCCACCTCATTGATTTACATTTGCATCGACAGGTAGCAGCTGGCACCCTAGATGCCAGTGCAAAGATCTACGCAGTGAGAGTGGATGCTGTCCATGCAGATGTTTATCGCGTCCTTGGAGGGCTGGGCAGAGATGCTGCACCTGCAGAGACTGAGAATAACCAGGATACAGGTAGGCTTTTCACTGCTATTAACTGAATTTGGAATAGTTTAGCTCTTAGAAGCCTCTCCGCTCTCCCTAAGATTCTTCTCTCCTGTCGTAGGATTTTTAAAACTATTATTTCCTAAGCTCATTTGATCATTGGAACAAAAAAAGATGGAGCATTGCTGCAGGTCACTTTCACGTTATCGAGCAAATTGGACCATCTATCTTTAGTCACAAGTATGATACAGGACTTAAATAGCAAGGATCCCATTGGGAACCTGGGACCACCCAGCTCCAGACTGAGAGAGGCAGAAAGCAAAAGGGGTGGGATGTGTCATGAATATAAAGGACCCAAGATTTTTGAATTGTTTTTATTGCTTTAAGGAGGATTTACTTTTTTTCCCCTTTTAACTATCTTAAGTCAGGTCCTAAGAATGGCACAACAATGTCCATTCCCATTTCAAATGAGAGGAAATGGTGCCACCCATTTTTGATTAGGGTTTTGGCTATTTGCAACCCTGGAGCTGTAAGTTGTTGACTTCAGATACAAGAGAGAGGGTTTACTAAGTATTATCTCTGCAGCAGAAAAGTAAAAGTAATAGAAAAGTTGAGCCTTTTGCAAATAATAACACATTTGAGATCCAGAAACAACTCAACATACACATATTGGAGGAGGATCCTTTCATCGTTGTTAACAGGCACAATGTATAATTTTCAGGGTAGTGTTGTATTATGGCACCCAAACCAGAATTTGAATAATGAGATTTGCTTGAAAGCAATTTTTTTTCCCTAATGAGTGAATTTAAAAAAAACAAACCAATAGTTGGAGTGTTGTATTTTCTCACTAAATCGCTTTTGACAATATTTTCAGCAAGCTTTTGTTAAAAATGCTGCAGAAAATTCCACTCCTGGACTGTCCTTTTCTAGGTGGTGAAAAAGAAGATTTGGACAATTCTAAGAAGCGCTCGATTAAGAGGAAACATCTGTACAAAACCATTGAACAAAATTTGAATAACATCAATGTCTCTGAGACAGAGCGCAAATGTGAGGTGAGGCCTCCATGAAAGTGACTCTTCTTCTCATAATTGCCATACAGGGACAGTTTCTACAAGGTTGGCTGTAGAAACATTGTGAAGTTGGAGAGGCTCTTCTGTCGCCATCCTGTTAGACCATTGAAGAAGCAGCCTGCGTCCCTCCCACCCATGTTTTCGCTTCATTTTATGGTTTTTCCTGTAGTAAAAAAGATATAGTTCTGCTTCTTTAAAATCTGATGGGCTCTGTGGTTTATACAGAGAACAGTGTTTTCCCATTTCTGGGCAGGGTAAGCAATAACTTAAGCCCTCCCTTAATATCATTAAAAGTAAATTCAGGAGAGCCGTGTAGCCTCCATGCAGTCTGCCCTCCCTCCTGATCTCACAGGACTCCTCAGCCCCGTCACTGCTACCCATGCATGACATGTGGACATCCCCAAGGGAAACGCAGCCTCCACCATGAACTTGCAACTTTTATAGTCTCCAGGGCTTCATTCAGAAGTTCCTCCATGCAGTTCACATTCCACCTTGGGAGTAGACTCTCATAATACAAATAAATCTGACCCTAAATAAAATAATGAAATCCCTCTTTTTAAAAGGGACGGCAATTTTTAACTGATTGTACTGGGAGTAAAGGATACATTTTGAATACTTGTTTTTCTTGAGAGAGAGAGAAAAAGTTTCCTGTTGAGTGATAATCAGTCAGTGATTTGCTATCAGTTATATACGATGGTTCTTGTTTTCCAAAAGGCACACGTATTTATACTTTTAAAACTATGTGTCCTGTCTCATTTTATATGTTATTAAGACTTTTGATGCAAGAACACTTGCAAACAGAACCCGGTGCTATGTTGTGGCAATAGAGTGGAGAAGAGAGTTAAGAGGACAATCTGGATTGATTTGTTGATATTGAGCTCATTGTACACATCTACGCAATGAATGGTCAGGAGTACGTAGTTCAGCCAGTTTTTCAACATGGCAATTGACGTATGTATGTATATGTCATTTATTTCACACCCATCTCATATCAAAATGACTCTGGGTGGCTTAAAACATTAAAACCCAACAGAGAAATATTTCTAGAGGTTAAAACACATGAAGAATAGTTGCAGGAACTGGGTGTGTCTAGTCTAATGAAAAGAAGGACTAGGGGAGACATGATAGCCGTCTTCCAATATCTCAGGGGCTGCCCCAAAGAAGAGGGAGTCAAGCTATTCTACAAAGCCCCTGTGGGTAGTAGGAGAGAAGCAACTAAGGAGAAATTTCCTGACGGAACAATTAACCAGTGGAACAACTTGCCTCCAGAAGTTGTGAATGCTTCAACACTGGAAGTTTTTAAGAAGAGATTAGACAACCATTTCACTGAAATGGTTTAGGGTTTCCTGCCTAAGCAGGGGGTTGGACTAGAAGACCTCTAACGTCCCTTCCAACACCTCTATTCCAACTATAAAAAGGAAATCACAATCAAAATAAACTTATAGTGAGGAGATGGAGAGGGAGGGAACAGGATGCATGGAGTGGGGAGGTGGGACTGCCTCTTAATTCAGCCACCGCCTCCAATTTTTCCCTGGTTTTATCTTCAGAGTGATCCCATGTTCCAGAAGACGGCCTCGTCCTTCGATGAATGCAGTACAGCTGGGGTGTTCCTCACCACGCTCCACACGCACAGCTACCTCAGCGAAGTCCTGTTCGATTCCATGGTCGTTCCTCTGCCATCTTCTGGGACTTCTGAGATACCAAGTTCGTCTCCTGTGAAAGTGACTGACTTAAAATGTAGGTGTGACAAATAGGTCACAAACTATTCTAACTTACAATAATACGGATTTTTGAGTGTGTTAATATTGATGCGGGTGGGTCTTCCACCATTCCTTGAGCTAAATGTACTTTGTGGAAATTACTGTTGTTCACCCTTCTTTTTCCTCCCCTTTCTGCCATTCCAAATTGGAATTCATGTTCCGTTTAGTGAACATTCGAAGTTATAATGGCATTGAAAAAGAGGAGACTGATCCAGACCTCGGTGGAACAAACGGTGGGAGAGAGTATTCCATTTAAGCCGGAATTTTTTCTCCTAGGAATAATCCCAGAAGGATATAGGAAGGATTTAATGTATCTAATAGTACATGTGTTGATGGTGGCTAGAATATGCACAATACTGGAAGAAGGAAAGCACACCACCAGAAACAGATAATAAGGAAAATTATGGCCTGTGCAGAATCAGATAGATTAACTCTAGAATTAAAAAAACAAGGGGGAATCTGAGTACTATGAAACATGGAATAAATTCTATCAGTGGTTGCATAGAAGAAGGCAAGGGCAGAACATAACTGGTTATGATGATTAGAATAATTAGTAAACAATGCATCAAACAACAGGATTGTAAATGGAAAAGTAAAATTTGTGTGTGTGTGTGTGTGTGTGTGTGTGTGTGTGTGTATACATATATATACACACACACACACACACATACATACATACATACATACATACATATAAATTGTATTTCCAGAACAGTTGCACTGTGTTGTATGTATAAAGAATTCAACACGGTGCAACCGTTCTGGCCTTACAATATATATATTACAAACTATTCTAAAAATACAAGTTCCAGGTATACTTGTAAAAGAAGAAATAGACATCCTGCGATCTCCGGAACTTAAAATTACATTTAATGTACTTACTGAGCTTTCAGCAGCCTCTGCTGACATCGTCATAGTTTTAAGCTACCATTACACAAATGTTGCCTTTATATATCATTAACCAATTTAGCCCTCGCACGCATTATAGGCCCTCTCAACTGCCTCCCATCCGTAATTAGTTCTGCTGTTTTTACCTCCGTCATGTTGGTCAAAGGAGGCTTATCTCTTGTTATTGCTTCCTCCTGTGCCCAGCCTGGAAGATAAACTGGCATGTTAACATCACTTCCTAAAGATAAAAATTGTGTTTATCTTTAGGAGGTGATGTTAACATGCCAGTTATCGTAATTTGTTGTTTTGCTTGTGACCTTGTAGTTGGCCCGGCTGGTTCTTTATTCCTGTCTGCTATAATTTGAGGCAGCTCTGCCAAGTTCCTCTGTATTTGGACAGGCCTGGCTATGCCTTCGTAGGGTGAGTCCACATGCCCTACGGACAAGCCGGGCCAACTGCACATTACATTTTTTTATGATGCCTGCAGTGTCCTGGGGTCATGGGATCCCTTTTGGCAAACTTATCACAAGCCAAGTGAATTGGGGGGGGGGGTTGAAGAGCTTGCTGGCATAAGAGATTTGAATAGCTTTGAATCTTGGATTTCTTGCTGAATTGCCCTGTGTTTGTTTTTGGTTTGTTTTTTTTGCCATCCTATCTAGCCATCCTTCTACGTTGCGTTGAAAACTCCGCCATTTGCCCTTCCTTGTCTGGCTTTCTGTTTACTCAGTGGGACAGCGAAACCCATAACGAGGTACACAAATTTGGTTGCTGCGTTGTGTCCAAAGAAGTGGTCATAATGATCTTATTATACTGGAGTTCAACATTCCTTTAATTTACATTTACAAGGAGATGCCACCATCTCATGGGCTACCAGGTTTTCTTACCGAATCTTTTGAGAGGTTTTCTCAAGTTCTATTATGAAATGTTTAACTTAAGACAGATTGAACCTTGGCAGCGAATTTTTTTTTTGACTAACATAAGTTCATTGGGCTTTTTTCAGCTTTATCATTACTTATCTAAAAGTTGAGACTTGGAAAAAGTTCAGAGAAGAGCAACTAAGACGGTTAAGGGCCTTGGAGGCTAAACTCTATGAAGAACGGCTGCGGGATTTAGGTTTGGCTAGTCTAAAGAAAAGAATTAGGGGTGACATGATAGCAATATTCCAGTGTTTGAGGGGCTGCCCCAAAGAAGAGGGGGGTCAAATTATTCTCCAAAGCACCAGAGGGCAGGACAAGAAACAATGGATGGGAAACTAATCAAAGAGAGAAGCAACCTGGAATTAAGGAGAAACTTTCTAACTATGGACAATTAACAGCTTGTCTTCAGAAATCGTGGGCACTCCATCACTAGATGTTTTTAAGAAGATCTAGACAGTCACTTATCTGAAATAGTATATATAGGTTCTGCTTGAGCAGGGGGCTAGACTAGAAGACCTTCAAGGTCCCTTCCAGATCATTCATTCATTCTATTCTTATTCCAGAACTGTTTAGAGCCTAGCGTTGTACAGTTAGCTTTTGATTGTCATCTTAACTATCCTTTTGGGAGGGGGGAAGACTTCGCCTTAAAATGTTGTTTTGTGTTCAGTCAGTCTCCGCTCTACTGGATAAATTCAAGAAGAGCGACCAGGCGTTTGACATCAACGCAGAGCTGGAGAGCGAGTCTCTGGAGGATAGAATGGAAGACGATTTTGACGCCGACGTTCTAGACAAGACGATGGCAAGAGATCTCGGCGAGTTCTCCGAAAAGCTGGAGGCCTGCCAAATGGCACCGGAATGCTCGAGGTCTATGTCTTTCTTGGAATATTTGGGGATGGGGTGGTGCTCTTGAGAAGTTTTAATGAGAATTTCATTATTGTCTTCTCTGAAGAATGATCAGGAACAACGTTCCTAAAAACACGCATGTTATTCGGGTGGTCTTTGACTTATGACGGTAACAGCCCAGAATTTCTTTTTTTTAAAATTAGGTTTTTTATTTTGTATTTACAACAAATCCACCTTTCATTTAAACAAGTGTGTTGACTGGGTACATATATCTTGTGCTAGCAATTATAATTAACATACTTTCCTTGCCGAAATATCAGTAATCACATTTTCTTTATAAACCATTGTCACTTGCGTATTTTATCTGTATAACAATCTTAACTTATTTCTCTATGTATTCATCCACTCAATTTTAACTTATCTCTTTGTTTTCCAACCGTTTGATAAAATAGATCCCATCCAGCCCAAAATTTCTGTGGCTGAGCAAGAAGGTTGTAAAGTGAGTTTTGCCCCATTTTTACGACCCTTCTTGCCTTGGCTTGTTAAGTGAGTCGCCACAATTGTTAAGTTAATAACGTGGCTGTTGCAAGTGACTCTGGCCTCCCCATTGACTCTGCTTGTCAGAAAGTCACCAAAGGGGACATTGCAACTGCTTAAATACATGCCAGTTGCCAAGCATCTGAGTTTTGATCACGTGCCCGTGGGGATGCTGGAATGCTCGTAAGTATGAAAGACAGTCATAAAGTCACCTTTTTCGGTGCCGTTGTAACTTCGAACGGCCGCTAAGCAAACCATTGTGAGTCTGTTCTGACTAAGGCTTCCGAGACCGTAATTACGCACGCACTTACTTTAAAAACAAGTCTTGTTTTATTGCAACTCTGGGAATTATTTTCATTCCCAGCCGGTAATGAATCTCAAACAGTCCCTCGAGATAAGCACCCACCTTTCTTCCCTGTGAAGTGCTGCCAATAACAGAAATTAAATGAACTAAAAAAGAAACCAAGTGAAGTAAAGATAAAGAGCTTCGAGGATTAATCTGAACCGATTGAACGACTTTGCTTCCTGCAAAGGTTTCATCACCTTTGCCTGTCCTTTATATCTTATGGGAGGGGCAATCACCTCCCAGCCTTACTCCCGAGTTGCCCCGTTCTGCTTCAGCTGCTCTCGCCTTCTGGCAGCTCTGCACACAGGCACATTGGGAACAGGCTCCCCTGGGTCCTCTGCCTCGCTGCTCCAGACTCTGGAGCTCCGGAGGCAGCATCCCACTCCCAGATGGCCCTGGCCCCATCTCTGCATCGGATGCAGGACCCTCGTCCGAGTCCTCTCCAGGTTCCCAGACTGGCCCTCGTTCTTCCCCACTGTCCGATTCTGCTGCCGTCTGCACCGGCTGCCGGTGAACCACCACAGAGTCCAGTGGGACTTACCTGCATGGCAAACCTTGAAGAAGCAACGGCCCCTCTTCTAAAACTAGTGTCAAATCTCTTTCTTGCAGAGAAATCCAGGTTTCCATGAGAGATGGGGATATCGGGTCCATGTGCCTACAGCTGTCCATGAACCCCAGCGAGTATTCTTACTTCAGCCCCCGGATCATGTCCATGTGGGCAGGCCCAGAACACTGGCGCTTTAAGCCACGCCATAAAGGTACGGCGGGCAGAGGTTGGGCAGGGATTGCTCAGCAGTCAAAAGTTAATGGGTGGCATCTCATCCACTTAGGAAGAGTCACAATCTTTTATCTGTTAGTGTTTCCCTTCCCTCTGGGTGTGAGCCTGCTGGCTTCTTTTACTGTTTTCTTCTCCTGCTTCCTCAGCGTTACGTAGGAGTGCGCGTGGGTTTCCATATGCACATTCCCCTTTTCAGAACAATGCTCTCTGCCTGAAGTTTACAAAAGTATATCTGTAATACACAGCACCATATATTTAGAATTTTAGAATAGAATAGAGCTGGAAGGGACTTTGGAGATCTTCTAGTCCAGCAGGAGAAGCTATACAATCTCAGACAAGTGACTGTCCAGTGTCTTCTTAAAAACTGCCAATGATGAAGCACCAACAACTTCTGGTGGCCAGCTGTTCCACTGGTTAATTGTCCTCGCTGTTAGGAAGTGTCTCCTTAATTCCAGGTTGCTTCTCTCCTTGATTTGTTTCCACCCGTCGCTTCTTGTCCTGCCCTCTGGTGCTTTGGGGAATAATTTGACCCCCCTCTTCTTTGGGGTAGCCCCTCAAACGCTGGAATACTGCTATCATGTCACCCCTAATCTTTCTTTTTTCCTTTCTTTTCCTCTTTTCTTTTCCTTTCCATATATGTTGATCTCTTACTCTGTAATAGAAATGGCATTACGGCATTTCTCATTTTGGCTTAATCGCGCATAGATAAAACGTGTAGCGATCGCATTTCCAATATTTATTGTATAATACTTCCACCGTAATTGTTTATTTTCTCACATCCCAGCCAGGATTGGTAGGTCAGAGCAGAGTGTGCAGGTCATGTTTGAACTATTTTGAAAGTGCCATTTGGTGTTTGCCTTGGAGTTCACTTTTACAAAACAATGCCATTCACACCTTTACAAGTAGCAACGCTGACAAAACAGACGATTTCCTGACTTCTGTCATCTGCACAGGTGACGCCAACTCTGAGAGAGTCAGCAAAAGGAAAACCATGAAGAAAGTCTTTGAGGTCAATTTTGAGGAGGAGGTTGACTTTGGATTTTACTTCCGCAAAACTCGGGTAGGTGGTTTTTCCTCCTCCTCCCCCGCCCTCCCCCGCCAGGCAGGACAAGAAATAATGGGTGAAAAAATCATTAAAGAGGGATCCAACTCAGAACTAGAGAGAAATTTTCTGACAGTGAAAATGATTAATCAGGGGAACATCTTGCCTTTCAGAAGTTGTGGGTACCCATCCCTGAAAGTTGTCAAGAAGAGGCTGGACAGCCATTTGTCTGGGATGGTGTAGGGCCTCCTGCTTGAAGAGGTTCCTTTCCTTCCAATTCTTATTCTCCAGGATGCTCCAGTTGTTTTTTCTTTTTCTTTTCAGTTTTAAATAAGGAACTAAATAAGCCTTTTTGGAGTACAATTTACAAGAGGGTACAAGAGCCTCGGGGGGGGGGGGTGTAATGGTTAGAGTGCAGTCTGCTGACGGCCTGCAATTTGGCTGTTCAAATCCCACCAGGCTCAAGGTCGACTCAGCCTTCTGTCCTTCCGAAGTGGGGAAAATGAGGACCCAGATTGTTGGGGGCAAGAAGCTGACTCTATAAACCGCTTAAGAGTGGGCTGTAAAAGCAGTATATAAGTCTATAAGTGCTATTACTAATTTGCAAGCAACACAAATGCCTCCAGGGTCTTCACTACCTGAATTGCCAGAGATCAATACTTTTAAGGGTGTACTGCCCCCCTGTGGACAGACCCCCACCACATCCTCTGTTTGTTGTCTCCCCCCTCCCTGCCATCCGTGTTGAGATGGTTGGCTGGAAGGAAGGGAACGTTTCCTCTGTGCTGCATTCTAGCCACCTGCTTGCAGATGGTTGATGTCCTGATTTCCTAGAGTGGGAAGTCAATTGCTAGGAAGGAGGGATGCTGGCGCGGCCCTCTCACTTCCTGGCAACCCTGCTCAGGCTCATGGCTTGCCTGTTAAATTGGCAACTCGGGGGAATTTCTCAGTGTTGCTGTCAGTGCTCCGAGCTATGCAGCATGCCCTCAGCTGGAGTTATGGCTTTGAGTCCCAGTGAAAGAAAGAAAGAGAGAGAGGAGGGAGGGAGGAAGGAAGGAAGGAAGGAAATTTTCATCATGCCTTCTGACTGTCAGTTGGTGTTTGTGGATGCTTTCTGTCAGTCTTCTGCCTTGTTGTAATTCTTACATTGTATGTTCTGGAAGGAAGGAAGGAAGGAGAAAGGAAAGAAAGAA